GTTTATCATAGTGGATGTTACGCTATTTCAGAAAATCTATTCAAGTAGTCATACGCAGGTTTAGTCAACTATCATAGTATAACTTAAAAAAAGCAGACAGTTCCTTTTGAACAATAATAAACAAAAGATAATTTTAAACGATAAGCCTCTAAACTAGTTAATGGCTACTTGAAATGGTATACGTTTTTAACATAGGAACTCATCAGTATTCTGCTAACAGCAGTCGTTCATAAGCACCACAGGTAGAGCACACAATTATGAAGCGTCTTAAATAAATTTACGACTTTTATTCAATATTTCGTGGATTTACTTTGGATTGGCAGTATCGTATAGGAGCACAGATAGACTCCCCGTTTACACGTTTTCCAAACCACCAGCAAAATATTTTTTTAACGCATAACTAAGCAGCAGTCCACCTGCAAGACTTCAAGCTAGATATATAACCCGGACGTACGTTTACTAGCTGGTTTTAGGAAAAAGCGTTTTAATTCACAAATTTGCCAGGTTAGTCATAATTAGAGATCTCCTAAGAACTTCAAATGCAAGTAAATGTACGCTTTTTTGTCAGCCAATTATCACATCTTTTGAAACGGTGTATATATATATATATATCAACCGTATATGTGTTAGACGTTTATTTCAAATATTCTCTCCCAACTGATTTCAAAAAGTGTTTAGCAACAGCTTTATTCTATTATACAATATATACATATATACATATATATACGCTCGAAATTGAATATCTCATATTAAGCAGGCGAGTTACTTAAGGTAGCAAATTCGGTCTCGTTAAAGAACAGTTAGCCTAGTACTATCTTAAGGGTTCGCTTGCTGTAATAATATTATAGGTTTATTTAATTGTCATTCTGACTAGCTAAATCCTGGCTTTTATTGATTTCATACTTTTTTTTTATTGTACGTTGTCACAGTATGTGATAGGATCGAATATCAAGCATTGGCAATATCATATAGTTGAACGTATCTATTTTGCAACAAAGATAAGAAGCCGTTCCCAAACACTCCCAAAATATAAGAACCTGTTTCTTTCAACAACAGAGTTCATACAGGTGCGGTATAATTTTCTGTCCATGTCCTATTTGTTGACTCAGCATGAACGCGTCAGGAGGGTACGCGTACCGTTGGTAGTATGGCGGTTATAGCTGGCAAATGTCGCTTTACTTCGCTCTTTTGTTACAGATCCCACACAATCATCGATTATAGCAATTTTTTCGATGAGAACTTAAGAAAAGATACTGTGTGATTTATAGAAAGGAGATGGGCAGGGGAGAGAGTTATTATTAGCTTTTGACATACAAAAACTAAAACTAGGTTAGGACACACAGATTTCTTATAAAGAAAAAGTTTCATATGTTGTCTTGGCCGACGGCTCACTTAACCGCTAGTGTTCCTAAGTACATTCAAGTCTCACTCGAGCATTTGGCACTACCTTTACAAGGAAAAACATGTAAGCGATCTTTATTAAATGATTTTGAACGAAAATCATTCTAGCCTAAAACAAACGCACACTCCTTCGTATAATAAATAAGTAAGTAAGTAAGTATTCCTCTGCAGTGAAAATGCGACAAAATCTTGCCCACACATCTAAGTAGAGTATCGCAGATCTATCAAAACTAACAAATCAATATTGTGTTCAATAATTCGTTGTCTCCGACTCACAATCGTATATTGATATAAACATAAGTAATACGGTAAAATTATTCTTACTGGAACATGTGCAGTATATTTATTAAACAAATGTTGCGATGCAAATCGAATTAACTTGCATTAACTTTTTAATTAATATAAGTTAAATAGATTGCAGTATCATTCTTTCTAAAGCGTTTCTTTTACATTTCTTCTTTTTGGAACGATCACTAAGAGATGATTGGCGACTTGTTTTTATACCTAACCAATGCTTGCAACGACTTCCTTTATTTTCTAGCACCGATAAGCATGGTGCATGCAGCGCACAAGGAGAAGATTGAATATATAGTGAGTAGAAAATTACAGTTAGGCCTTTTCATCGATATCAACGTAGGCTGAAGTCGATACTAATTAACACACGAAAAGCCTTAGAAGTAAAAAAACAATGATTAATCGCTTCAATTTTATTTAGATGGTTAATAAGAACACATACATATAATAGTGCATGCTTTGGATTACGCAAATGGAAGTGTAGGTGCTACGAAACGCTTTTTTTGTAGGGCGCCGTACAGCACTGATAAACTCAATTGGAATGTGGGAAGGTTAACAGCATCAAATTCTGCAATTAAGATAAGAACGGATGTCCCATATCGGAGAACTAGGTGTTCTTTCCTGTGAGACAGAGATAGATAGAAAAAAACATCGAACGAACGTTCCGCTGGGCCAAATTAAAAAGCGCCTTCACGCCAACATTGTGTTTGACCGGCTGGATATAGCATTGGATCAAGGGGAGTTACCTCAGTTCTAAATTATGTAGTAACAGAAAATCAGTGTTTAATGCGAGATTCAGAAATACTTTTGCTGAAGTTTGGAAGTCATTCGACATTTTAATTTAGTTTCGTAATTTTCCCTGAAGTTATACTCAAGGTACGATTGCAATTAAAGGAACAATAAACGATCTGCATATATATATATGGATTCAACCTGTTTTTGTTTTCTAAGCCTCAACGGCATCTAAAGTGCTCAAGTTATTTCATGGTCGTTCTGTCTAATTTAAAAAAATCAACTGCCTAAATCTCTTTTATTTTTGCGGCTAAGACAGAGAATTAGAATTATCGTCAAACCTTGATATAATAAACTGCATCATGGTTATTTATTAGTTCAGCAGTGTTTGTTTCACTTGATGCGGAGACCTCAAAAAATCCCACATGGGGTGGCCGAACTGAAGGCAATTACACAATGCCCCTTGAGATTCGGTACACTTGTCACTGGTGCTTCTTTTCTAGCAGATTTTGACAAACTCATATTTAGAGACAAGCGAAGAGAATCAAAATTTCAAGCCAGTTCTGAGTGAGCCTCAAAAATTAAACTATCCAGAATTAGGTATGTAGGTTCCCTTCGAATGCTTATCTTTCCCTACTGCAGGACTAGCTGCCTCCTTAGCTACTTCCTTAGCTCCTCCCCTTATTTGAACGATTAAATAGCTTCCTTAAATCGCAGTCCTTTGAAAATATCTGGTTCTATATGTTGTAGGGTGGAGCAACTGGAAATTTAGTGTCAAATATTTAAGATGTAGCATATGATGTGGATCCTGTAAGAAACGAGAGACTTATTTTTGACCCGCGAAAGTAGATATGTAAAGTTGTATTTCAAGGCTGAGAACAAACAAAACGTTAAATAGAATTAGTTTGCAAAACTCCAAAAGGTAACAAGTCCGCTAGTGCTACTAAAAATAGAAGTCAAATATTGGCGCCTAGGAATTTTGATGGAATCCTAAAATATTATGATATAGAACTATTTACAGACTAAATACCTCTTACAGAGCTTAAATCGCAAAAAAGCTCAGTACCATCATGAACCGAGGGTCGATTAGGAAAAATAAATTCCTTCACACTACCCTTGTAAAATACTAAGCTTGTTGTAAGTAACCTTCTAATAAAAATCCTCGTCTGTTTTTATTGGACAAAAATTACTCCTAAGCAACTTGACTTCCCTTATATTGTCACGTACACGACCGCGACGATACCAAAACAACAACTAATAAGAGCGTGAGCACATTTTAAGCTGAAACATAACTTTCAGCGCGTATATTTTAGTCACTTTGATCGTAAGTTTGTCATTACACCATTAATTGCCACCAGCAAAAAATATGTTTCAATATTGCATAAACTTCACACTCTCTAAATATTGTATATTAGCATGCTTTTTATGATCCCTACACCTGGTTTCAAAATTAAACGGTACCTGTAGCGACCTCCACCGTCACTTTTTTCTTTAGCTCCTAAACAATGAAAAATGATTTTGGAAAATTTAAAAACTAATCAAAACGTTTCCTAAAGAACTACATGATAAACAATCAAATTTGATATTTCCGATAAAGCAGTATAGCTGTTCAGTCCTCTGTATGTTGATCCTGTTACGGACTGTCGACGTCGCGTAGTTCAGCACACGCAAACCAAACACATCTTTAAACTCATGCTTTGATGCTTTTCTAAATGTTGAATTTCTGCTCTTTATATTTACTGTAATTACTAGAAGCCTTCATAGCCATAGTGTTGATTAATTTAGGGTCCCCAATACCTAACTGCCATAAGCCGAAAAGTTGAGGGAAACATGTGCTGGATTTTAATTGTATCGTTGGCTTGGCTTACATCCATTTAACAGCAGCGTTTATCTGAAGCCAGGTCGCTTTGGAGATTTACGGCTTTTTCAATCTCCTCGTCCTCTTTAACGCGAAGAAGGCTGTCGGTGAAATATGCATAGTCAATTTCGTAAAAAGATAAGTGTACACATTAGTGTACGCGATGATGATTTACCGTTGTCTAAAGTTCTTGCGTTTGTACGTGCGATAATCTATAGTTGATTGTCATTTTCTTTCATAAGTTTTTCCATAAGGTTTGACTTACTTGATGTAAAAGGGATCTACGATCTAGTTTTGTATGAACTTCATCAAGTGAAGCGTGGTATATGTAAGGATTTGCCATATTCATATTGTTATTAGTTCGATCGATGGGACTATTCAACCCGCTCGCAGCTTTTCGGGATAATGCTTGTACGTTAAAAAAAGTAACGTTAATTTCTAAAATTACCGAAGCAATTGTTTAGGATAAACTACTACAAAAGCACGTCATTTGTTATGAATGCCAACTAGAAATTGGATATTTCTATTAGACACTTTTCTTTGGTTCGGTAGGTCAGCACGGTTGAATTGCCCCCCATACCCTAGTAATTGATTAAATGAGGGAAAATTTGTATATAGTGGTAAAATGACCTGGCTAGATGCTCCATAGCTGGTTCGATTCCTTGTCCGGTTCTTGCGCTAATCTCGTGAAAGATGGCTTCATATTCCTGGTCATAAAGGAGTGAGAAACAATTATGGTTACGGCATAAAGGTAACAATAAAGCATGCTTCGAATGTAACGGTGATTGATAAACAATGTGTGCTTTGCTGATATAATGAATTCTTGAATTAGAAGTGTGCAAATAATTATGACAGTTCCTATTACTCTTTAATAATGAAGACCCGTCTTTTATTATTGTTCCTAATTGTGTAGGCTTGAAAGTAACGTGGCATATTAAAATTTTGTGATTTTGCAGAAGAAAAAGCTTAAAACAGAAAAAGCGGAAAGGCATTACTTAACGGTATGAGCATAGACATATGGGCAGCTAATAATAGGCTTGTGTATATGTAGATAAATGAAAATAATCGCCCATATTTGTAGCTATGAAAAAATATGTTAGGAGAAACGTAAAAAAAATAATAAAAAATACCTAAATATACCTAAAGCTTAGTTTTTACTTAAAAGTCGATTTCAATATACTTTCAGCCACATACACTTTTGTTTGTTTTTTTTTTTGAAAAGATGTTAATGATAAGGATATCGAAGCTTGCGAAATCATGGAAGATGGTTCTATCATTCTAAGGGAGACCAGTGGCACAAAACAGTTTTTCAAGAAAATATTAGTGCAAAAGGCTTAGCTGGAAATACGTTAACGCAACATTATCTCCTGCAGGATAAAAATTCAATTATAAAAACTGTAAATGTATTGTTGCGTTAGAAGTCACCCTACAATATTACAACGAAACTAAAAATGTTGAAGTTACAACGCTATTACCAATACCAATGACGATATTAATGGCTTATAACAATATACAATAAAAAACACTGCGGAATAAAGGCATACACTCGATAACTGCTATGGATAATACTGATACCAGATAGTTAGATAAACGTACAAATATGTACTAATGTTTTTACATATTTTTGACAAAGCACAGCATTTCACTTAAAAACGTTTCCAGTCGTCTTCACCTTATTTTTTGGCATGGTATTACACTAGTTCTCCATGAAGCTCTGTCCACGCTTTCGGTTTGTTGATCTATGCACCTGTATAAAAAATTTTTGACGACCTATTTTGCTATATAAAGAACCGAATAATTTGACATTAAGTAGAATCAAAGGGAACAACGCAGACGGCAATCTTACGGAGAAAATTAGGCCTAGATAATGGGTGAGATGGGACATTTTGACAAAAAGTCCAGTATAGTTTTGGTTGGTGTGTCTAAAGACTCTGTTTCGATAGACAGCGTTATCTAACTTGGTCTTTGATTCTATAGGCTTTTGATTGGAAGTTATTTTGAGTTAAATTTTCTCTTCATATTCTCGATCACACCGTTAATTTGGTGGTGATGAAGTCATTTACTATATATCATGTTTGTACTATTCTAATTGCACTAAGTTCACAGCATAACCTCTAAGGGAAATATTCAGTATCACACATTAACTTGCGAGGGGTCTCTCAGGAACTTTTTTTTTATCGTTTTCTTGCTGGGTATCTATCTTGCGTTTCCAATTGTGTACGTACGTCTATTTTATTTGTAGGAAATTGTTCAAATGAAATGGTTCGGTTTTGAGAGGGGTACTTACACTTCGAAATGTCAACATATGCCTGGGTGCAAGTACATTAAACGGGTTCATCAAACAGACCGGAAACGTTTCCGTTTTTTCTAACGGAGGATACGGATTTCCATATATAAGTGGTATTATCAATGCCATAGATGCCGTTACAAGCTATCCGAGTCGTAGGGCTCTTCGTAAAAGGTGTCTTCTTAAAAAGAATGCACCGTTCTCAATAATAACGCTTAACAACGGTCAAGGACTCATGCACTCAATACATCCCCTACGTAGCGTCTTGCTTTTGGGATTAAATTAGGGTAAAAAACGGGACATAATTATGATAAGGACGAGATCCTGACACATTGTTGAAACTTAAAAAGATGTAAATGAACTGAGAGGTAAGTTTATAAGCTAAGCAATGCAAAAGACTATTAATGTTTACATGGGTAAAGAGCCAAAATACAGATCCGACAGCGGTTAAACTGAAACATGTGCTTTGGAGCACTCTACTTTTAGTTTCACAACAACTACAAATGAAATTCTTCTTGACATATCAGAGCATAATTCATTTTATTCTGACATTGGCGGTAACGCGCGTACTTATCGATGACCAAATTGAGCCGAAGCAATAACACGTTAACTTAAAAACTTTTCAAGGAAGTCATTGCCGCAGTTATGAATACTAAAGGCTCTCCGACAGTTAGGTTTGAACTCAAAACGCAGGCTTTTTATAGATCTTTTTGCATCAAGTTTTCGTGCTCTTTAAGAAACATTTTATATAAACCGGGCTTCACTTTATATTTACCTAGACCCGATCGCTCGGCTGATCGTTGTGACCAGTTCTGCGCTTCCTACAATGATGGTTCTTTCTCTTCATTAAAACGAAGATTTGGCCTTAAACCAATCAGGCCATTTCTATTAGACCTCTCTGGGTCGAAACCGCGGCTCCCCCGTGGCCTACCCTCAAATTTGGACAGAATTAACTACTGCATTTTCATTGTCGCATCAAATTTATTTTGAATAATAACGGATATGTAAAAATACAAGAAGACAATATTTTGTCGACACAGAAATACTGTTGTGCTCTTTACTACGTCATCATTATTTGTCTTGTGCCGGAATGGGATAGCATTTATTTTACTGGGACAATATGGAGTGACTTATTAATATTTTTTGGACAGATAGAAACAACTGTATGAGTGCCAAAAGAATCGGCAAAAAAATATCTTGCCTTGATGCGTTTCCAGAACGGTTCATAAGATGGATGTATCACTGGAATCAGTATATTTGGTTACAGTCATAAATTGCTATAGATTATTATGGTTCCCTTGTTTATAAATATTGTTGATTTAATGGCACTTTTTGTAAAAATAATAGAAATGCTTATTAAGTAAATCAGTAAACGTATTTTAAATCAATGTAGTATTGCCCTTTGTCGCTAGGAACTTTCTGGACCACCACGTTGAGTCATTACTACGACCGTAACGGTGAAGAGCTAGTGTAGATTCCTTGTCAAATTTTCCCATCGCAGTCTTGTTTCAACAACCTTCGACCTCCTTATTTTATTTACTACGTCTATTATATCCGTGAAGCTGTAAAAACTTAAAGCACGACAAGATTCGACAAGCTCTAATCAGATTTGAACAACAAGTCAAAGTGTCTACTCCCATAGCAGGTTTAAAGTCATATTTCATAAATACCCTAGAGGGTGGAAATAAGTGCACATTATATCCAACATGGACTGCTTTAAAATTGGTTATAAATAGTTGGATTATGCATCAAGCATTTTTTCTTTATATACCACCAATTTTCGGGACATACTAATATGCAAAACATCGGCAGCGGATCGCACTTAGATGAAATGAAGATCCCAATAACCTCGGAGGTAACAAAATTTAATATTTACTCGATTAAGAATGTGTGTGCTATGTGTCTACTTACATGAGCAAGCTTTTGTCCCGTTGAAAAGGACACCATACGAAGGGCAGTATCCATATCCGCCTTGTTTCCCACTATCATTAAGGTTACTTTATCCGTAGTTCCATCCTAACAAACAATCGTCAAAAATATCTGTAGGTTAAAAAGTGAACTGCGCACGCTTTGGGTCATATAATAAACCGTTGCTGAAAGAACGTCATAGATCTAGTCAAATTGAAGCGGGTACTATTATCCATTAGGCTGACGTATTCTGTTTAGAAAGCACCCTAGCCCAACAATGCGTTGGTCATATTTTGATAAACAAGCGGCATGTTTACCATGGTATTTTGTGGCTTGAAAAATCATGCTATATAATTAGTTACAAGCTTGCCACAGCCTTCACCTTGACTATAACGGGTTGTTCAGTTTCGAATGGAACACTATAATCTATTGAATATCACGGAGGAACCGCACAAAATGGCATGATATTATATGATCTAGCTGCTGTGGGTGATTGTGTCAACGACAGTCTAACATACCTAAATAACAACTGCACCTGGAAAATGACAAAAAAGCATCTGTTTCATCAGCTGGAACTACCTGGCCTTTTATAACCAAATACTTATTATCAACTGTTCAAGCCAATCACTGTTAGTGATTTATTTACGGGGCTCTTGGACGATCCTGATTAAAAATGTAGTATTTAGGCTTTCCGTCCACTTCTTGGACCGTAATCGTCTGTCCGCTGCGAAGTGCATTTTCTTGAATGCTAATAAAGCTTTGACACTTACTGTGATTTAGATGAAAGCGCATTTCACATATGAGCTGAATAGATTAATTAGCTCAACCTCAACCATACCACAAAAGCTGCGACCAAACCTATTCTACATCGTCTTAATAAAGCCCATGTGGTCTTTGGTGTAGATCACCAAACTTTAACAAATGAGATTCATGACCAGGGAACTTCTGTAGAGGGTAATAGATTCTCAATGACAAAGCATCCACAAATCACGCTAGTAATTATTAATGGTCGTAAACCACCGAGCTCGGTAATTGTTTTTGTTTTTACACCATCATAGAGCAGAGTACTAGAATAGCTACAACAGTAATTGTAATCGAACGATCAGCATTTGTTAATCAAACCTTCTAGTCGAGGAAAATGCTCAAACCTTCAAATGTTTATTTACAGTTAAGTAATATGTAGCTTATTATATAAAATGTCTCGCAATACGGCTACAGGTAAACATTCGATTATCTTGATTAGGCATAATAGCAACTAACCACTATCCAAGACTTGATCGGATACTTTGCTTTATGCATTATACTTGATAATATATTTTGTTCGCTGACCTACCTGCAAGGTGCTGATCCACGCGCGTACATTTTTAAACGACTCCTCAGATGTAACATCGTACACAATAATAACACCGTCAGCCTAAAGGTTGTAAAGGGAGTGAATGAGTTGGCAAGTGAGGAGCTTCTTCAATAGGGAGCTAATACTACATTAACCATGACCATCTTCTGACATTTAGATGGTAGCTTATTTATCCCGCTGTTAAAGGTATGGAATAGAGCGGTGTCGTATGACTGATAATCTTTGTTGTTTAATGCACATCTTGTTCGTCGCCTTAAATGGTTACACTGCTTCAGTGATAAAAGTTGGGGTTCTCGAAAAGTGTAAACGCACCGCAATAGAAGCTATCCGCGCAAAGTACGTATAACGATCTAGTCAAATAGCACCCTAATTGCTTTTGGTGATCATACTGGCCTTTCGCTGCGCTATAGTAAAAAGTTCAAAATTAAGGCCTATGCGTGAGTTTCTAGCACAACAGATAGGTCCTTTGCGGCCTGTAAGGCTTGCTTTTTGAATTATAGATTATTTTTCGTATAGACGATAAAGTTGTATCCAGTAGCGTTCTTAAGTTCATTGTTCCTTTAAAAGAGTTCTCTTTGCTACACATTATGATAAATAGCAAAGAAAAACCTTTTAAAGGAACAACATATATATATATATATCCTTTATAGGTGTAATGGTACGTACTCTTTCGCCTTCCGCTCCAAAAATGTTTTGGAGCTGTACGAAACTTTTTTTGCAGATTGTGACGTTATTGCGCCAAATATTGCTAGCAGCATATTACGTAATATATAAAATTATGTGTTAAACACTTATGAAACGACAAAAAAAGCGAAAAAAAATATTCGCTAATCAATAAATCGTCTTACCGATAAGAGAGTGTCCCGCTATTACAATTCCTTACTTCAGAACGTATTAATATATATTCTCAACCTGTATGTGCCCTTTTAAAGACACCAAAATACCACACAGTTTTCGGCTATAAAGAAAGTTACATGTTACATTATATTATGGATGCTTATTAAGCTGTGTTGCATTGTTTGTTTTGCAGGCTATTTGTAGTCATTGGAATATTGGTTCTATTCTGACCTTGCGAAAATACTGTTGGGTTATTGCACGAAATTTTTCTTGCCCTGCGGTGTCCCACAACTGCAATGCCACAGAACGTCCTTCTACAATTACCGATTTCACCTGGAAATCAACCCCTGGGAACACGATTATCTAAATCAGCTAATTTGTAAAACGATAACTATCTACATCTTAACCTGACTCTGCAATCGTAATAACAATATATAGAAATGACAAAATACGTAAGTAGAAGGCCAAGATATATAATACATTATTTCATTTTGTCGAATGGGCTCGTCGTCAGCTGCGTGTGAGATAACACGCGTTGTTTCGTCGGTATGTAGAGGCTGTCCTAGAAGTTCAATGGTTCAGAATGTTCAATAGCCTGGTACGGGTAATAAATTTGCCAAAGGAAAATTTCACAAAATTCAAGCATACCTATTGTAGCATTAAAGGATGATACAAAGTGACCTCGGCAAAAACGGTTGATCAAAGAAGATTTTCCGACAGCGGAGTCTCCTACAATGACAACTTTGAACAGGCGTTCTGGATGCACTAGAGTACGTCGCAACCGTGAATTAGAAGCTGTTGTTGAAGGCTCCTGAACACGCGCAGCTTGATTCAATGAACTACTGTGTGTGTCCATTGCCTGAAATTGTCACTGCTAATAATGGCATCATTCTATGCAACGCGCAGGATTTTTCTGACCGCCTGAATATTCCTTCTTTTTTTAGAGCTGAGCGCTTCTCGCTTAAGGTAATTTTCTAAAATAAGATGCTCAAAAGTATATCCTAATGTAGTTCGAATCTCCGCAGCTAATTACGATACGTATATATAAAATAGTTATTCTTCTGTGTAAGCACATTGGGCCATTTGGCCGCCAATTCGGCGGCTATAACAAGAATAAGGTTACAACAATAGGCTGTGCCACATAAGTTGGTGACGTGGTCTCGTGGACGGCCCACAGCACCTAGTAGAGATAGAATGTATCATGCACACGTGATAGGCCCCGACTGCTTCGCAAATGCTTAGTTCACGACGCAACACAGGGAAAAAAAATATACGAAATAGCTCAATTCAAACAATCGGGAGCGCATATAGCTGCCTCGGCGCAGTAGGTTATTATTTCATGCACCGTGACGATATTTCGGAATCAATCAGGGGTTGCAAGGCTGCTGCTTAGTCTTTTAAGATGGGACTTATCCTGTCTCACAGATTATCATTCTCTCGGTAGGAAATTTTAGGTTAGTTTTTCGGAACAGGTATCGTTTAAATGTACAGAAGCGAAATAATTATCCATTCATTTACAAGGAATTTTGAAGCTAGGCTTGGTTTACCTGTTCTATTATCTATAGCAAAACGTGGCACGTGTCAATCAACTCTATGAGTCATATTTGGAAGACAAGATTTCTACTACAATTTAATTAAATCGCCAATAGATCTACTTTGTTGATTAACTGTCTACGCATTTTCTCCTTGAACCGGGTGAACATATTTACTTTAGACGGTTTGAGTGGAACGAATGCTTATTTCTTGGTTGAAATCTAGAATATCACATTGCTAAAACTGATCCTACTGATTTTAAAATAGTCCGTCGTGAATTTACCATTTTTTTTCCTCAAGATCTAAGTGAAAGTTTTTATGCAAAAATGCACCCGGACTTAATAAAGAATCGACAAGTAAAATAGGTATGACGCCAAAATACCACGAGACGGTCGACCTGTTCTAAAAAAAAATGGGAAATCTGCGAATGGTAATAATTTCTTTGTTGGCGATAGCAAATAAGCAAGTAAGATAAACAAGTTCGATACCTAAGATCAAATAGCCATTGTTTTCCCAACATCAGCGTAGTATCGAAATTTACCGGTCACTAGGGTACAACGCTTTAGTACAAGTGGCATAATAGTCAAAATGCAAACATTAAAATTTTCAAGTCAAGGACTATTGTTTAACACGCGAATTGTCAACATTTTAATATATGTCGCCGTACAAAATGTTAATTAGGCTTTTAAGAATGCCAACTGCTGCAATAGCCACGACATTAACCAAGCCTTTTTCCGTGCTCGAAATCCTAATAGTCAGACTTTTCGTGCAAAAACAAACCGGTAAAAAGTAAATAGATACAATAATCTTATTGAATAATATTTGCACACGCTAGGAACAGTAAAAACAACACACAGTATTGACACAAGGTATGCTAGGTACCACCCAATAGTACAATATTAACTGAGATCCGCATGTGAAAGCAAAAACGTTCATTAGCGTGTATCAAGTCGGCGTGTCTTGGCGTACCTTTTCGTCGACGTTGCTTTCTGAATATAGTCCAAAGCAATGGTCCGTGACATTCTCTCGTTCTGTTTCGTAATTGACGGTTTTTTGAACAAGGGTTGGGGAACCCGTTAAACTGCTCCGGCCGCTAGATCTGTGCAAACGCATTTAGTTTTGTAGATATTGCAATAGTGTATCGATTATCTGTTGATTAGTAAATAAAAAAAAAATATGAAAAAATAGGTTCAGTCTCTGGAGGATATCGGTTGGACGCATAAACGGATTTTTTTCGCCCTTTAGTCGAATTTGGAAAGTGGCAGCAGTAGGCGAACGTTTGTCTGCATAACAAAGACGTCAAGGGGGTAAAATTTACCTGTCTTGTCTGATAGTACTTTCTGACACCCGATCATATTCTTCTTACTTGCCATAAAAGAAGCTGAAATCAGCTCTGCCATTGTTATTATCATCGATATCATCCAGGAAACTATAGCTCAAAACTTCAAGTTTGCTTTTCTTCTAGTAATTATGAGCCAATTAAGGGCAAAACTGCAAGTTATATGTCTCGTCCGTTCAACTCAAGACCCAAGCGACCTGTCTGTGAAGAGCGTCAAATGATGTCTCTTTTTTGTTTGCTGGCCAGTATCGTCGTTCTAGATCAACCAGTTGAAAATTTCTCGAACAAGATACATAGGGCTCGTGTTTAACGATAATATTTGTAAAAAAAAAACTGCATGAACATAGTAAAGAATTATCTATAGTTCTGCGAATAGAATGTTACCTCGAGTCTCTTCCATTGAGAAGGAAAGATGAAATATCCAAGGAAACTTCTTGGACTTCTGCGTCTGCATCCGTGCCCGCCGAATGGAAGCTCGTCGGACTTTTCCGACCACTGCCACTGCAAAGTCATTTCTGCCTTAACGATAAAAAATACTGTTCGGGCATTTGATGGCAAAGTAGACTGCAGTCTAAATGTTTGTTGCAATTTAGAAGAGGTGCTGTACTATGATGTTTGTAATAATATTAAATGAAAAACTATATGACGCAAGCGCACAGTATAAGCGTTCATATACTAAATTATAGAAGACTAAACAAAATATGACATAGGTGCTTTACTTTAGAGCTGGTTTTAGTGTAAGCAACGGCGTCTGCTACAATGAGCACATTCTAGTCAGCTTTGGATCGCACGCTCTTTATTACACTGATTTCGTTCTGTTACAGTGTGTCTCCTAGTGCATAGCTAAGCAGCGCATTACTTGCGTTATACTAGATGGCTGGTGTGTTGGATATACTATTTAAGCAAATATAATAACAACGACACTTGACTAACGAAATCACTGTTAAAAGCATATGAATACAAAAGTTAAATCAATCAGCGATAAGAAAGACAACGCCCAGCAGGTCCGCATCAACATAAATCGCGTCAGCTTAGAGGGTGCACTATATCGAAAGCCATCCGCAGCACACGCAAAGCAGACAATCTGGTTCCGCAATTCACTGTTGAAGGGGTACTGAGCAAGCTAATCAAGAGAAACTTCTTGTGTACGCGGATCACAACAGCTTTGGCATAATTGCGCTTGGCCAGCAAAGACCTAGGTAAAGGTCAATGAAATTTATCTATCATCTCTTCTATTAGCGAGCAAAGTTATTGTTCTCAATGGGCACAGCATTGGAATAAGCATTAAAACCGAGGTGGTTCCACTTATTTCACCGGACAGACTCAGCGTTGAGGTTTACCGTGTTTCAAAGAGTTGATCAGTTGCTTATGCTCAGTGATCGATTCCCGATATTTAAATAATCCCTCTGGTTACTGTTAGCAATTTCTTATTGATACCTTCTTTGTAGCTGACTTTTAAACAGAATTTTACGATCAATAACAACTTGTCCATTTATTGCATTCGACTCGTAGCTCGTATTTTAGCCTGGCACCGTCAGACTAAAAGCATATTTAGACCACCGCTTCTGAGAAGAAAAAATGTACAATCATTTTAATGAGCAATACAATTCACCTTTTTCAGCTCTTCCAGCTGCCCTCTGTTTTGTTCTGGATACCTCTGGCCAGAAGTTCGGCACTTCCGGCCATTCGCATAATATAGTTTTTTTGTTCGCACATTAACAGTCGCATTACGGTACGTAACTCTGATGTGGTAGCAACCATCTTCTTGACGTAACTTAAATTGGTCTTACGACCAATTTAAGACCAAGACGACCTAAACAAATTTCAAATCTATAGGAATTGAACAGTAATAAATTAGCCAACTTGTCTGGAACTGTGTCGCTGATATCCGTACGAACGATTCGACAAGCAGTCTGGGTGAAGTAGAGGGAATAGAGATATATTATATGCATACAGCGCCTAAATTGGGACAATTTTTGGTAACTTATTCGTCGTAACGGGCATGCGTTTATTCGTTATTTCTCGTAGCAGACTGGGGCCAGTTCTTTGTACAATAAATCTATAAACACGTCACTGTTTACGACCCAAAGAAGATAGAAGCAAATTTCGTGTTCTAAGTTTATGTCTTAAGAGCAGAGGCGAACGCCTCATTAAAGAAACATATTTGCCTGCTCGTGAGCTGTTGTGGAACAGTGAATAGTTGTAGTACAGGAAGCAAGACTATACGTCCTAGAACAAGATTGTGCGTCGGCTCACACAAGCTGACTAATGCAAGGTTGGCTACCTGAGATTACAGGCATGTTTTAGAATGAGTGCCTATGAAGGCCGAATAGCCTTAGTCTGAATTTATTGGACTACTGTATATGTAGTGTTATTTAGTGAAAATCCAGCAAACTTCATGTGATAACTCAATCCGACTCATACATTTGTGCGATTAAGAGAACGTACGAAAAATTACATAGGCGAATATTTGAAACAAGCCTGTGAATGTTTAAGACCTAATTTTAATTTTAAGCTGTGACTGCGGTGAATGGTAAGCAAAATCAACGAATGTGGCCATCGGAAATGAGACTTTTAGTATGCGTAAAAAAATTTGGTGAAATATCTGTTATTATATAGATACAGTTCTAGATGGAGATAGTTAGAAAAAGTCCTAAACAAATTTAGAGGTCGCACTTATATATAAAAGCAAAACAATTATTCTAAGCAAACTTTTAAGCATGTTAAATATGTTATACACGTAAATCACTTATGTTCCTTGTGAAAAAAAATATCGAGGTCATTTAATGTAAAACGTTTGAAAATATATATCAAGCTTTTCAGGTCTTACATCTTTATACGGTAGCCAGATATAGACTGATTCAAAGGGTAAGCTTTCTCTCTTGATGCAAATGAAGCGAAATTCACCTGAGGATCTATTGAGGTAGTATTTAAAATGCATATGACGAAAGTTGCGGATGTACAGCAAGTTACTCAAACGATGAAAAACGAGGATAGATTTGATATGATGGCTAGCTGAATCAGAAAGAGCTCGAGGCGGGTATGTATATTAAAGCCAAAAATTATAACACATTTTTAACATGGAACGAAGCGTGCGTTGTGGTGCATTGCAGGCGTTATAAACTAGCCAAATAATATGACATGCACATATTATTCTGTGTACCCTTCTGTCATTTACTAAAGAAATTCTAAACAAACTGTACCATATTGCATTTAATTGTTTTCACCTTTATAATAGACCTGGATTTTTACTGTACACACTTCCTCAAGACTAGCAAGCGTTCTCAGGCCGTCGACCTCTTTTTAATTATGCCAAAGCTGTCGAATCTGTCGTCAAGGACAAATAACTATTAGATAACTTACAGCGTTTCAAGATAGTCCGAAATTCGGCTACCTCTTCGATTCTTCAGAGAGTTTAAGTGGTTGGCTCGAAAACTAAAGGGAAAAGTGCCACTAGCGTTTGCCGCAAGAGAAACACCATCATCAGCGTCGATTGAGAAATAGTCTGATCGACGCTCGTCTGCGTCCACTACTGATATCTCCTGAAAGAGTAGTAAGCCGGAGTCAATGAGTAGGCATATAACTAACCTATGTGAGCATTTATGCGCTGTTTGGAATTAAATGTTTGTGCACCTGTAAATTTGCGAACGAATAAAACAGTTTTCTTATCGCGTTTCTTACGTATATCACATAATAACAAACCAACGTGCTCACGCTACAGTTCAATGTTGTAAGAGCTGTAAAAGGTATCTTAAAGTACCAATCACTCGTTAGATAACTAACCTTCTTACCAACATTAACTAACTTTATTGTTCCTCAAGCTAAAAAAAATGTAGATGATCTTCAAGTCATCTCTACTTGGCACCAGAGGGAACAAGTTAATTATGAACTTATATTATTTTAGTGGTCTATATAATAAGCACATTAACAGCAGCTCTTTATTATGGTTATTGGACAAATCACGCCACTTGAATAATGGCTTTCACGGAGAATTGTCCATGAAAACGTTGCATGTAGCCCTTAGGTGTAGACTTCCTCTAATGCCATTATCATCTTTCAGCTGCGAACTACCTTTTATCGAATATCAACAAAATGCATATATCGGATGGAAGTAGCCTGTGGAGGGTACTATTGCTTGCCTATTAGAGAACAATTCAGATAGAGGCTAAAGAAATAGATCAGTTTTGCTTAATCGCGTCTATGTGTCTCCCTACTTTATAAAGTAGTCGCACTTAGAAATTTAAGGACCACCAGACTTTGTAGAGGTTAGCATACAATAGGTAATGCCGATTTAATTATTTGGTCTTGATGATAATCGAAGTACAACTCTAGCGTAGCTATATG